AATAAAATGGAAAAAAGGTGTTTGATTTAATTCATTCATTCATTTATTTGCAGATGTAATATATACATTTTTTTCTTCTTATTCTTCTGAAACTGTCAATCTATGTCTTTGTATTGGGTTTTTATGCATGATGAATCGATGGAAGGAATACTAACCCTGTGCTTTGTGTGTATGACAGGATGGGTATTGGATTTGATAAACGTACATATTTTTTTTTTTCTGTTATGTGTGAGTTTGTGGAGCCGAGATGTATGCTGGGGAGGTCTGTGGAGCTATTTATGTATTGCTTTGTTTTGTTTTTTTCTTTTATTCTTTCATTCACACTTCCTTCTTGTTCTACTTTTCTCTTTATCCTTTTTTTCACTCTATCGTTTTTTCTCTGTGTTTGTCTCAGTGTGTGTGTGTGTTACCAGCAGATTCTTTATTTGCTCTCTCTCTCTTTCTCTCTCTCTTTAGCAAGACGCGGAAAACAAATAGATAAACAAAAATAAACAATCCCACACATTTCCAGAAATACAATGAGTGGAAATACCCTCCCGACACCCAAATTCCCCGGCAAGGTCCTTCTCACCATTGATGACATTGGGGATCGCTTTTCTGACTTTCACATATTCGACACCCGATACTCACTTGTAGAAGAAAAGTATGGTATAAACGAGTACACAAAGGCCCACATTCCAGGCGCCACCTTTGTGAATGTGGACGAGTCCCTTACCGGGCCCCTCACCAACACCACCGCACGCCATCCTCTGCCCGATGTACATGTGTTCATCAAATGGTGCAAGGCCAACGGCATCAGCCCGCAAAAGCCAGTGCTCTGCTATGATGATCAGTGCGGTGGAATGGGGGCTTGCCGTATGTGGTGGATGCTGCACGCGTTGGGCGTTGAGGCGTATGTGTTGAATGGCGGCTTTGACGCGTACTCGGCGGCGCAGCTCCCAGTGGAATCGGGCCCGCAGAAGAACAAGGCCCACCCAGTGGAGAGTTGGCCGTACGGCACTGTCTTTAAACGCGCCCTCACCATTGACGAAGTGCCACCGAATGCGTTGATGGTGGACTCACGTCTGAGGGATCGGTTTGCGACCACCGTGCGTCCATATGCGCTGGACACTGTGCCGGGGCATATTGAGAACGCCGTGTGTTTGCCGTGGAACGCCAATGTTGTGGTGGACGAGACGAG